TTAACAATTTTAATAATACTCATATATGGTAGATTGTTGAGAGATGAATTTCTGTCTAATGGTAGTATGAATGAGTTTTGTTATATTACAGGTATGAATGCATTATAGTATGCTGGAGGTACCTTCCTTGAGGTTACCTTGAGGTTGTTTCTGGGCTTAGTGTCCCCACGGCCCGGTCCTCGACCAGGCTTCCTCGTTGCTGGACTGGTCAACCCGGCTCTTGGACGCGGCTGCTCGCAGCCTGTTATATGAATCACAGCCTGGTTGATCAGGTATCCTTAGGAGGAGCTTGTGAGAGGTCGGCTAGTTATACCCCTTATGTGTAGTTTTGGTATGTAATTGATATATTAGCATTTTCAACACTTTATTATCAATATGACTTTCTTTACTATTGTTTATTGGATCACTATTATTAGTTTTGGGTCTTTATTTGTTACGAGATCTTAGTTATTGTAACATTTTAGGGATTTTAGACATTTGGGAATTTTTGTCTGACTTTAGTCTGTCTTAACCTTATTATCCTCAAGATCAAGCAGGAGCATATATACACCTGTGTTATTGTAAGTTGCTTAATGTACAACTAAATACAGTAAGTTGCCGACTGTAACTTACAATTATGCATTAAGCAGCTTACCGTATATGTACTTTCATATTATCAGTATCCTATTGTAAACTTGCTCTAATACAGTAGGAAGCCTTTTGGGCACTTACTTTATTACAGTAAGTAACGTACTGTACAAGATCTTTTGTACAGTAAGCAGCTTACTGTTCAAGTAGTTTAATACAGTAAGTGTCCTTCTGCACACTTAAATGAACATTTTCTTTAGTAAACAAACTACCATATGTACGCCTGCTTTGATACTGTAAGTAGTACTGTGCTATATTTTATATAGTAAAGTACTACAACTATTAAAGTAAATACATGCATTATTTGAAATACAGTAACATATAACTTTAAACAATATAAACACTTTTATTTGCCCTCATTTTCTGAGGCCTGTTGTTTGCAGGTATTAACTTGCTAGTGGCTATGATATGACTTTTTCAACAGAAACAGAGTAAGACAAATCCGAGTGGTAAACGTTGCCAATGGTCCTTAGGACTCTGGCCTGAGACCTGTCTTGTTTAAAGTATATAAACCACGTAGATAAAAAATAAATTAATTTTCTTAATAAATTAAGAAAAACTTAATACGATACAAGAAGACTTAGGCTTTTAAAATTTAACAAAACTTTTGCATGTGCTGGTCAAAACTGTTTATGCTCAGTTTAATATTACGTTGACTTTCCTTTAAATGACTGGAGAGGAAAGTCTCATTTTGATAATTTTCTCAAATTCTTCACCTTCATTATACCTCACTATCAAACTGTTGCTGCTGACAGTGAGAACAGTAACCAACCTTAAAACATTTAAACTGGCAGAAAGCCACTATTGCTGACCTAAAAAAGCTTAGTGTCTGTTTAACAGAAAACTTGATAATATTCATATATCAATTATTGCAACTGTCAACACAAATCTTCAGTGTAATATCTATCAAAACAGTTTCAATTACTCTTTTTTTTCATCTGTTGTCAGTGCTGTTTAAGGAAGGGGAGAGAGAATCCTTCTAAAAAACTAATAGAAGTTATGCCTGGTTGGAATTGTCACGTTAAAGAATTCCAAATTACATCTATTATTGGGATACTCTGTGGCAAGATGCTGGGTGTCCCAGAGATGGCTGGGATACTCTGTGGCAAGATGCTGGGTGCCCCAGAGATGGCTGGGATACTCTGTGGCAAGATGCTGGGTGCCCCAGAGATGGCTGGGATACTCTGTGGCAAGATGCTGGGTGTCCCAGAGATGGCTGGGATACTCTGTGGCAAGATGCTGGGTGTCCCAGAGATGGCTGCCTGTCCCAGACCAGACCAAGAACTAGTGCTCTGACCATCATATTATCAACAGGATTTAAGACAAAACAAATATTTTACAATCAAAGGATTTCTGATTGCCTTAAAAGACAAAACGGTTTATAAATTTCGCGAAGAAATTATAAAATTATGAGAGAGAAAGGAACGTCGTTGAAGATTCCTCTGGGCCTGTATTACATGTAATACTTTCAGAGATAAGTATTCTACACTATACAGCACCGCTGTATACAGGACACGAGACTGAACCTGACCTTACAGCAAAATGATGTCCAAATAAACCCATCCTCATCCTTCCCCCCTCCACCTCCTCCTCATTCTCTCCCTGCCTGTACCACAACACTCCACACACACACTCACACAATACACAATGCACAACCTACTAATCATAGAATTAAGATGTGAATAAGGATGTCTTTCTAAACTGTTTCTACCTCTTGTTTTTCGCCATTCCAAACGATCATTCCCGAGCGGTAGCCAAAACTGGGTTCTTGAAATTCTCGCGAAGGTTTGATCGGGCAACTAACAGCCTTGCAGCAGGCTTAGGCTATCGATAGGTTCAATTACCAACTGTTAAAGTAGCTCTAGTTGCCTAACAACTAGAAGTTAACGGCCTCGGCCGAACTAACACCCATCAGCCACTTAGTCTTCCAAGACACAACACAAACATCCACCTTAGTACAGATTAGACTAGGCTTCCTGGCCCCACAAGGTCATGGCGGCCAAAGTCAGCTTCACTGACGAATCTGGCCAGATTCGTTCTCCAGCCCAACTACTTGAAGTAATTCATGAGATCACCCAGATTACCTACAAAAAATGTGTTCAAAATAACTACTGGAGCCATCTTGTTTGTACGCAATGCAGACCTTCCAGAACTCCTTTCTACCGACAGTCTGAACAAACTATTGGAGAGGGTGGATCACAGTCTACCCCCCGGCCAACTTCCAAGCCAAACGCACTATCTTTGTACATAGGATCCATGACATCATCATGGATCACTCAGTTGACGAGATATCTGCAGAAATCTGGAGAAAAAACAGTGATATTAAATTAATTCAGGCCCACTGGTTTACAACTCAATCCCTCAACTACCAAGTACTGAAGCTATTTCTGGCTTCACCGGAGCAAGCAGCACAAGTCTGCTACCTTGGTTTTTCTGCATTTGGCATCAAGTCTGGCCCTGACCAAATCACCTTACAGAGGTTTCACAAGCTCAAACAATGCTTCCAGTATGACCACTATTCTAGTGCATGCAACATTGAAATCCCCAACTGCAGCAGGTGTGCAGGGGAACACAACTACAAGGAATGCACAAGCCAAACACCCAAGTGTGCACAATGCAATGGTGCACACATTGCTATCTCTTATTTGTGTCCTCAAAGACAGGATGCAATCAAGCAAGCAAGGGAAACGGTGACCACAGCCCGTCAACAAGCAGCAATCACCATTCCTGCCCCTCCACCACCAGTAGACGCCTGGGGTAACCCCAACCAACAACAGGCCCAATTCCCAGGGTTGCAGGCCCAGTCGGTCGCTCAAGGGAAACACCAAAGCAACCAACACCTCAATAACTCCACAGTTATACCAGGGCAAACCCAGAACCATCCACAACAGGCCTCAACATCTAACTTTCTCGCAACAAACCCCGATCCTAATCCCAGCTTAGGAGCTAATCTCCTAACATTTGCCCAAATCACATGTCCAAACAACCCAGTGAAGCTCCTGGATTTCTGGAACTCACTCAGGATGGACAATGGCCTGTCCCATGTCCACATGCCCGAGGACTCGCTGGCCTACCTATTTCCTAACAACACAACAGCCGCCGGCCAGGCCTAAGCACAACCCAACAACTCCAACCCAAATACTCTCCACCCCCAGGCCTCATCCAACGCTCAAGAGACACCAAACTCCCAGAATCACCCCGGCCCCTCCACCCCGACAAACTAGCAAACACCCAGGTCCACCATTCCTACAGTAGTCCCAGACAGGATTGTACTCAAAGCCCTCACAAGCACCCTTGCCATAAGAAACCCTAGACGCAATCAGCTCCTCACATACCGCAGTTCCACACACCATTGTTCTAAGAGGCTCAGGGCCAACACTAGCAGCCGAAGCTCATCCCCTGAGGACAGGGTAAGGGCAAGCAACCCCCCTAATACTCCATCTGTGAGTGACTCTAGCACTACAGACGTGGACATCGAGAACAGTAGCGACAACAAAGACCTCTCAATTGCACAGCAACGTGTGGAAAACCTCATCCAACCTCCTGCCGGAACCAGGAACATGATAGCTGGCCCAAAAGACCTGTTAGACCTATCCTCCACCTACACACACATCAGAAGCCAACCCGAAGTTAACAACACTGGCACTCGAGCCAAACAAACACATACGACTCACAACCAATAATGAGGATCACCATTCTTCAAGTGAATATCAGACTCTACTTCAATAACAGATACTTCCTCACCCTGGAGGTAGCCAGACTTAACCCAGATATTATCTTACTCAATGAAACAGCGGTTAGACAGGACCAGCACATCTCTCTTTGGGGATATTCTACTATGGAGGTCAACAGGGGGATGCACAGCGGGGTGGCAATCCTAATAAAGAGAAGGCTTTCCTACCGCCCAATCCTCATAGAAGATGACCACTTCCTTGCAATAGAATTCACCACCTCACACGGCCCCCTAATCGTCTGCACCGCATACCTACCCCCAGGACTCGCTTACTTCCCCTCTATCCCACTCAACAGGCTGCTCGACAGGACACTTCCAACTATAATTGCCGGAGACCTGAATGCCCACCACCACCAGGCCCTATTCAACGCTCCTACCAGAGCAGACCTAAAGGGCAGACAGCTCCTCAGTTTAATGCAAAACAGAGACCTCTCCTTCGAGGGCCCCCACTTCAAGACATTCTTTACTGGCAATGTGAGTGGCACCCCTGACATATTACTGACCAACAGAGACTGTGACCTGTTCCACAGCAGGGTGACCCCCAGGCAAGAACGTGATGTCTGATCACATCCCTGTGGTCACCACCCTCTAAGCTTCCCCCTTCCAGTTTGTGACACCTCCCAGGCCCAGACTGGAAACCATGCGAGCCAGGGACTATGACACCTTCCTCACTGACGACCCCATAACTGAGTTTGACAACCTACCCACCCAAACAATAGACCAAGCAGTAAACACCATCCACAACCACATCCAGCTTGCAACTGAGGCCATCTGTGAAAGATCCACCACAAGGGCCCACCACCAATATAAACCGACCCAAGAAATCAGAGGTAAAATGAATGAGTACCAGCGAGCCAGTCAAAGCCACTACCAAACTGTCCAGCCACCAGTGTTGTCCCTACAAACACTCAGAAGGGGAACCATAGACCTAATGCTAACTCATAAGAGCCACATATGGGGAACCCTTGTGAGACAGGCCAACCAGTACAAAAAGGAGTCGGGAGCCTTCTGGCGTAAGATCAGACAGCTCTTGGAATCGGATAACCCCAGCCTCACCTGCCTCATACACACATTCCTGGATGATGATGACGAGGAACAACAGGAAAAATTAGAAGACCCACAAGAACAAGCTGACCTCATCAGTGCAGTATGGAAAAAGACACTCACGGCTTCAAACAGCAGAGCCTTCAACAACATTCACTTCATCCGTGTCAACCAATGGACAACAGAAAACGCCGCCTCCCTTTTCAGCACCCCCTTGATAGACCTGACAACCCTCCAAGACGACCACCCACTAACAAGACCCATAACTATGGTAGAGATGAGAGGAGTCATTAAAAAAAACATCCAAGATAAGAGACATCCAGAACCATCGGGGATCAAAGCAAAGCAGATCAAATTCCTACCAGGCAATTTTCTGGAATCCCTACTCAACCTATTCAATGCCATGCTGGCTTCTGGTTACATTCCCTTAGCTTTCAAATCGGCCAAGATGATATTCATTCCCAAACCCAAGAAAGACCCCCATCAGCCTGGCAACTACCATCCAGTCTCCCTCTTAGACACAATAGGCAAGTGCTTTGAAAAAATCATGTCCAACCGTCTCAACTTCTACATGGAGTGCAACAACCTCTTCACAGAAAAACAGTTTGGCTTTCGAGCACAAAGGTCAATCAAGCACGCAATAAACATCATCTACGATGCTGTGAGATCAATTCGCCAGCAAAAACAGGTAGCCCTGATTGCCACGAGGGACGTCCACAAGGCCTTCGACAGCCTATGGCACGATGGTCTAGTGTACAAATTAGCAGAAATACCAGCCCAAAACTGGACCCTCCTCAGGCTGAGCAGAAACTTCCTAAAAAACAGACAAGTTACTCCCAGCTTCAAGGCGAAAGCTGCAGCAGTTTTCACCCCAACAGCTGGAGTCCCCATGGGTCGTGCCTGAGCCCGGTCCTCTTCAACATTTATGTAAATGACCTGCCCCAACCGGAGTACAGGGACACCATTATCGTCCAATTTGCGGACGACGAAACACACGTAATAACATCTAACCCAAGTAGCCAAGCAGCCAAACATGCAACTGTAACCCGTAAGGCAAACGTAGAACTAGCCAGGACTGCTAACTGGGAAAGAAAATGGAGGATCACTACTAACCCAGAAAAGATCCAAATAAGCACTGTCGGATGTATGGCTTTCTCAATTGAAAACGAGGGGGGGAATAAGGATCAGGGGTGAACCTATAAGCATCTCAAACTCCAACACAGTGCTCGGATACAACTTTAACAGTCTACTCAACTCCACCCAGTACGTCTCCCAGAAGACAGCGATGGCTAGGGGTTCCCTGTTGAGGCTCTTCCGCTTTAGCCAAGCCCCATCCCACATCAAGCTCCACCTGTACTGAATGATAATAAGGCCTAGCCTGGAGTACCCTTACGTCCACCTGAACCTTACCAACAAAACCAACTTGCTGAAGATCCAACGGGTACAAAATAAAGCACTTCGGTTTGCAGAGGGCCTGTCACTGATGAATATGGTAAGACCAGACCAACTCCATGAGACACTCAACATGATGCCAATGAACATCAGGCTCAGCTACCTGGCCAGAAGGCAGCTGTACCGCATGAAGCACATGTACGTCCCAGACCCCGAAGATCCCTACGAAGCAGTAAACACCACCAGTGACTACGAGATCCATGAACCACCACACAGGACCAGAAGAATAACTCTCTAACAAAAAGTGATCAGACACATCCATGATCAGGCCTTCCCTAGACCTCAAATACTAAGTGGCCTACCAGACGACCCAGATGAGTGGCCCATCCCGGACCCGATCAATACCTAATAAAGAATTAAAAAAAATTAAATAAATAAAAATTAAAAAAAATAAAAACAACCAAAACCTTTTTTGTGCTACCAGAAGAGTAACTACCCTGATGTTGCTAAGATTAAACTCTTGCAGCCAACTCCACCTAGGGCTTCCAGACACCAGCTAGGACACAAACACTAGCCACCCAGCCAAAGTACTGGCAACCCAACATACCACAAACCCAAACAAACGACACTCACATGTCAACCCATGGTGGACAGGCCACTGAACTTTCTAACCTCCTCTCTCTCAACACCCGCATCCTCTTCCAGAACTTCACCTCCCCATACCCTCTACCTCCCCCAACCTTTCCAAACCCTTTGGACATCAAAGAAAAGAAAGAAAAGAGCCCACTTAGCTCAGGAATGATTTTTCTTGCCCGGTGTTGAACTTTTCCTTAAGCAGATGTACCTTTCTGAAGCTGCGGTCTCCATGCTTCGATACAATAATACAAGGACAAGAGATTCATACTGTTGAAAAAAAAATAGTTACTCTATTTTCAATTAAATCAAAGTTACGTCTGACTATTCCTCGGATATGGTTGACTTCTTTTACTGCAGCTTCCACTTGTTGAGCAACTTTTACTGATTTGTGGATCCTGACTCCAAGGTCCTTCTTCATCAACCTCCTGCAAGGTAATTTTTTTTATTTGATAGTTGTGATGTGCAATGTTATGCCCCACATACAAGGTCTATGTATTTTTCGAAGTTAAACAGCATCTGCAAATCGTCCGATACGTGTGGAGTTCATGTAGATCGCTGTGTAAGGCCTCAATATTATGTTCACTCCATACTTTACCATAAATCTTAGCATCATCTTGAATTTTGATGATATGGTTTGTGATATTCTATTCTATGTCATTGATGTATATGACAAAAAGGGTTAGCCCCAAAATGGAACCTTGCGGTACTCCACTCACCACATTTCTCCAATCAGAGATATTTCCGTTTAGGACGACACTTTGCTTTATTTGTTTTAATCATTGTTTGATCCATTCTAGTATTCATATATTCCATGTGCTTGTACTTTCCATGTCAGTCTTTCATGTGGTACCTTATCAAAAGCTTTAGCAAAGTTTATGTATACTACATGTATTGGAAGTCCTTGTCTGAATAGCTGGTTGAAATTTCCAAAACCTGGAGCAGTTTGTATGGCATGATTTATTTTTAAGAAGGCCATTGTTGTGACCCAATGTGTAGACGTGTGTAACACGAGGGAGGGGGGGGGGGGTTCGGCTCTACTCTGTCCTTTACCCCTTACCTCTACCCGTATTCTGAATTATTTCTCTTTAATCCAAGGGACCCCAGAGCTACTACTCTAAGCTGAATCCCACGCCACGTGGTCATAAGCCGTTTGACCGGCCAAGATTCTACAGCCTCACGACGTGGTACCTGACTCCTAGCAAACACTAGAATCTCCTTTACGCCGCCACCACCAGACCATTAACACAAAACACACTAACCGGGGTCTGGACCGATTATGTCATCAATACCTTGGAGCTTGACCCCCAGTTATTTGGACGAGGAGGGAAGAATCTACGTTAAGTGTGGGAAATTATAGCAAACAAAGGGATAACTGAACTCTTAATCTTTGTTGGGCTGGCGGCCCAACTAAACTCAGACTCGTGGAGACCACGTGCCAAGGACAATGAGAAATACAAAAACATGAAATGGAAATAATAAAAATGCAAATTACTAAGTAAATAATTTATTCAAAATCTAAAATAAAATCTAAATCAAAGCACTCCCTATAGTTAAAACTCCCTGACTTAGGCATGAGATGAACTAATTTCCTATACAAAACTATAGCAGACTCTACCTTTAACTGCGACCAGCTAGATGTTAGGCTGATCTCTTTAGGGAGAGGGTGAGAGTGGATCACCTTCCCGAGTCGCTGACCTGTCCACACTGATCCTCATCGCTCTGCTCAACACAGAAGCCCGAGGGGTATTCCTACGCCAGGTTTACCAAGATTACTAAGCACGGTTTCAGTTGAACAACTAATCTCTGTTGCACTGAACAACCCAGGTGGTTGAACTCTTTTAAACTGAAGGTAATTGCACAGGCATCTTAGAGAAAGGCTATTTCCAATTACAAAATGGCTATTTGACCTTTGAGAATTACTAAATGTGGAAGGCTTTGGTGACCTGTGACCCTCGGTCGCACATATCGCTCCGCGACCGAGGCTAGTCCCGGCTAGTGACGTCACTGATGTTGACTTACTCATTATTCAGACAATTGAGGATACTCTTGATACTTTAACCAGGAATACTATTGAATACAATTTAAATGAAGACTTGAATTTCTCTAAATTACTGAATTCTGTAAAATAATTCATTATAAGTTGCTTAAGACAAAGGCGCCAGCCATTTTGTGACCTAAACTGCTAATCCCAGGAGAGATGACCCTGTGCTTGGGTCAGGTCAAACTACCGCCTGACTCCAAACTTTCCAAGCCCACTTTAGTCTATGAGAAACCATACTGAATAATTCCTACAACAAACCTAGTTTGTTACACATGAAAAAATTCGAAAATCTCTTTCAGAATATGGGGCAAGGGAAGTGTGTATGAATGTGTGTGTGTGTGTGTGTGTGTGTGTGTGTGTGTGTGTGTGTGTGTGTGTGTGTGTGTGTGTGTGTGTGTGTGTGTGTGTGTGTGTGTGTGTGTGTGTGTGTGTGTGTGTGTGTGTGTGTGTGCAAGCAAGCTAGAGGAGACATCTGGGACGCCAGAATGTCGGTACCGTCTAAGAATCATCCGCCAGTTATGGCTGCTATAAGGAAGGCAGTACTTCAAGGACACAGGGTGGCCGGAAACGCACAAGGGCTGGTTGTGTGGAGGACCAGAGGACATATGTGACACATGTGGATTTGGGAGTTGACATTTGGCTCGAGTAAGTCACCTTGTGTGAGGCATACACCAACGGTCCCCTTGTGTGACACATACACCAACGGTGGCCTTGTGTGAGACATACACCAACGGTGACCTTGTGTGAGACATACACCAACGGTCACCTTGTGTGAGGCATACACCAACGGTCACCTTGTGTGAGGCATACACCAACGGTCCCCTTGTGTGAGACATACACCAACGGTGACCTTGTGTGAGACATACACCAACGGTCACCTTGTGTGAGACATACACCAACGGTCCCCTTGTGTGAGACATACACCAACGGTCCCCTTGTGTGAGACATACACCAACGGTCACCTTGTGTGAGACATACACCAACGGTCACCTTGTGTGAGACATACACCAACGGTCACCTTGTGTGAGACATACACCAACGGTCGCCTTGTGTGAGGCATACACCAACGGTGACCTTGTGTGAGACATACACCAACGGTCACCTTGTGTGAGACATACACCAACGGTGACCTTGTGTGAGACATACACCAACGGTCACCTTGTGTGAGACATACACCAACGGTCACCTTGTGTGAGACATACACCAACGGTGGCCTTGTGTGAGACATACACCAACGGTCACCTTGTGTGAGACATACACCAACGGTCACCTTGTGTGAGACATACATCAACGGTCACCTTGTGTGAGACATACACCAACGGTCACCTTGTGTGAGACATACACCAACGGTCACCTTGTGTGAGACATACACCAACGGTCACCTTGTGTGAGACATACATCAACGGTCACCTTGTGTGAGACATACACCAACGGTCACCTTGTGTGAGACATAGACCAACGAGGACACCGAGGGAAAGTGCCTCCTTCACTTTGACTGCAACACTGACAACGATAAACTCCCGATACTTAGAAGTAACTTCCATAATAATGCTGAAGCGATTGATAAGAAAGATAATTAAACAGCTGATGAAAATAACGAGGCGACAAGTTCTGTGAATAAAGAAGAATCTATTGAAGAGATTGTTGAGGAAATACTCAGTGTGAATAGTGACGCAATAATTAAGGTACAGACTGACGGCCACAAGGCATAGGAAGAGTTGCAGGAGGAACAGAAGGTTTTGATATAGCAATTTGTAAATCTTAAACAAACATTATAAAATACATGTACAGGCTCCCTGCAGGTGCTCATGCAGGAGCTCATGAGAGGGATGCAG